TCACAAGGGGGAGGACTATCTAAATGAAGGGTGAACTTCTCACACCCAGGACACTTCTTTCTGCTCTCTCTCTCTCTCTCTCTCTACTACTTTAAAATTACCATTCTTAATTTCAATTTCATACCAGGTTTTTTCTTTATCCCAGCAAGGAGAACAATAATCCTTTATTTTATAAAAAGTATCCAACTGCTTTCCATGAAGTTCATAATACTTCCCTACTGGGATTTCGTTTTTACAAGCGGAACATTTTGGAATTGGTTCTGACATATATTTATAATTTTACATCCAATGGATAAAAGAAAGATTAAAAGAAACTTTGAAAGACTATTTAAAAGAATGAAATATCATTTGGAGGTTATTGGTTCACTTTTTTTAAAATAATAATATATGATAGAAAGTTTAAGAATGCTCCCGCAGAGCAAAAAAAAAAAAAAACAGTATTAACCACCCCAAAAGGTCTTGCTCCCTTTTAGTAAGAAATAGTATCAAATAGTTATGTTAGGATTGGATACTTATCTTATTAAACAAATTACGAAGTGAATGGAAAAGGGTAAAACCGATGAGGAAATAATATCCCGAGCAAGGATATTTATGGGAAGTGCTTTTGCTATTCATTTAACATTAGCCATCTTGGCAGGTTGAAGACTTTATAAGTTTAGAAAAACCAAGGACAAGGAAAAATCAACTAGTGATTTAATTTGACCTATTATTTTACTACTTATAACTTTTGTTATTCCTATCGGAACTGAGAAAGGTGAGGAGTTAACTAATATACCAAGTTCAGGGTTGGTGGCTTTTGTTACCATCGTGCTAACTATTATTACAATTATAATGTGATTTGTTAAAACGAAACCTGAGGGAGAAGAGAAGTTAGAGGAAAAACTATAAAAAACTTTATAAAAAATAATATGACTGACACACACACGCACACACACACACACACGACAAAAATGTAAGTTTTGCCAAAGAGAAACAGATAATGGCAAAAGAGTTTGTTTTAGATGTATTAACGAACACCGACCAAAATTAAGCACTGGATGATTAATATTTTGATTTCTCTTTACGGCTGGAATTGGAGCCTTAGTTTATTATTTTTGAAACAAGAGCAAACAAGAGGAATGAGATAGGGAAAATCTTTAAAAGCGAAAAAAATTTAAAATAGAATTAAAAAAGGTTGACAATTAATTTGAATACCGTAGTAAACTAGGGTCTGAATGATTTTTTTCTCGTAAAAAAGCATTATACCAATATTCTTTCGGTAATAAAGGCTGAATATTCTTATAAAGATACTCCTGCCTTTCCAAACTCAAAGGCTTAGGCTCCAAGATGGAAAATACCAAACTTTTAATTTTTCTAATACTTTCAATAACTCTACTTTTATCTTTCCACAAACTCTTTAACTTTAACTATCCCTAACCTATCAGCACTAAAAAGGAAGTGATGATACTTTCCTATCCCAAATAGTTTCTCAAAATACTTCTCTAAAACTTTAAAGTCATAATAATTAAAACCTCTCCCATTTTTATAGCATTGAACTTTATTTAGAGAACTAGACCTTTCAACCACTTTAACAAAATCCTCTTTGCTGTAAATAGTTGACTTCCGATATTTCTTTTTAATCATCCCAAAATTGCCATCTACTTTAAACTTGGTATGTCCTGCTATCATAAAGTTTAATTCTACACTTTCATAATAGCCGTAAATTACTAGATAGAGACATAACCAAAGGGTTATATTTTTATTCTTATTTTGACCCACACAATTATCACAAGTTAATTTCAAGTTTTTTTCTCCTTTATTGAATTGCTTAATCCCATTAAAAACTAGGCTTAAAGTTCCGTTAATTCCTTTATCCAATAATTAATTTTCATCCAAAACATAATTAATTTGCTCGCCATTTAGTTCATTTTGTATTCCGAATAAGTGGACTTTATGAGCCGTAAGAAAATACATTTGACTAGGCTGTTGGTCGAAATGAGGAACTTGGATATTTTGCGACCAATCGAAACTATAATGGGCGGTAATGTTATTTTCCTGTTCTTTTACTAGTTTAGTATTCTCATTATAATAATCCCTCTCTAACTGGGCTTGGATTAAGTGTCGTTCAAATTTTTTTTTGGGTTGCTTTCTCCCTTTCATCCTCGCAAAAGTGGAGTTCATCCCTAAACCTATGACAGGTATCGCATAAATCAGAGCGAGGAGACATGAAGCCAATTTGAGGGGTTAGTTGCCTTCATATTTTAATAAAGACCCGATATCTTATTTGCTTTAAATTACTATCTGCTTCTAAACTATTTAAAAAGTCCTCATGGACTGATTTATAAGTCATTTCAGCAGGTAAAAAGATGGTTATGCTATCACTTCCTTTGCTTCTCCCTGGATTAGGTAAGCCATAAGTTTTAGCATAGTTTAGGATGAAACTTTTTACCCTCTCCTTAATTTTTTCATCGATTAACATTTTGGTTTTTCTTATAGGCATCTTGCCAGTATTGCCATGAGTTCGGACAGAGAGACCTTTGCTAACTAGGTGATTTCTAATGCTTGCTAAATAAACATGACTTATTCCGAGCATGTTTAAGTAGGTTTCTTGGCAAACAGGAGTTCGGTTATTTCAATGATAAGAAACTCGGTAATTAGTCCTTTCTTTTTTAGGAAAGCGAGAACTGGTTGTTATCTCCCCTTCATCCATTAAAAGAAGTTGAGCCATTAGGAAAATCTCTCGTGCCTTCTTAGTGAGGAGTTTAAATCTTAATCTTTGTTTGATAAACCTTTCTCTGGGTAGCATAGCAGAACAACCACACTTACAACCTTTTTCTAGGAATTGGATTGTTTTGTTGTATTCACTATAACTAAAATTATTAATATACTTATGAGTTTCTATCATATAATATATTTTATAATTACTTTAACTTAAATTAATAAAACATTACTCATATGTCAAAAATCACCAAACAAGAATTCGAAAATTATAATAAGCAACTTTTCTCCATTTTTGCTCGAATGATGGCTACTTCTGAATTTCAAAATGCGAGCAAGGAGGAACAAGAAAGGTGTGAAAAGTTTTTTGGCTTACTTCTCGACCAAATCCAGTCAGGTAATATTTTTGCCCTTTGTGCTTCTTGTAAAATGGCCGAAGATGTTTTAAACGAAGATGTCTCTACCATTAAAAGACGGGCCAAAGAGCACATTATCGCCCGCGGCTACTATAATCCTGCTTCTCCACTAACTCTTGCTGAATTTAGAGAGAGAAAAAAAAAATTAGGCTACGAAAAATTTGGGAAACTTTGAGAAAATAAAGAACAATTTTATCAATTGCTTCTGGAAATGAGTGAGGATGACAATAACTTTGTCTATTATACTTTTTACTTTTTGACGAAGTAGGCAAACTTTTCCCAGAAGATAAAGATGAAAAAATGACCGAGGAAACGTGGCGAGATGTAGGATTTATTTGGGAGGGCATTCTGAAAACTCTTGAAGCAGCCCAAAAGAAATTAGAACAAGCAGAGAGAGAGAAGCCCAACCATTCTCCCACTATTCCTGACTCTCGCTGACCTGCTAACAATAAGATAATAAACAAATTAGAAACTGAAAAAAATCAACTCCAATCCAAAATTGAAGAATTGGAGCAACAATTAATTAACCAACAATTTAGTGGAGACGAGCAAAAACTTAAAGAAAACGAATTAGAAATTATCCGCAAATTACTGACTGAAAAAGAAAATGAATTAGCCAAATTACGTGGCAATCAGCCCACAAACCACCAACAAACAAAAAATAATGATAACAGTCTAAAATGGGCGATTGGTTTGGGAATTGTAGCAGTGGTTATCTCTTTATTGTGTTTTATTCTCTTGTTGAAAAAAAGAAAAGATTAGTAAAATATTATCAATGGAGAACTAACCCGACAAGCAAGCAAAAATTAAGAAAATAAAATTATTAGGAATTTCAAAATGCAAAAAAAAGAATTACAAAAATTAGCCCAAAAGGTTCAATTAGAAATAAAAGAGGAGGAATTACAAAATTATTTAGACGTTTTTAAGCATTTAGAAAAATTATTGACCGACTTTCAAAAAGTTAAAATAGAAAAGAAAACCAAGCCTCTGAAAAGAATTAATGTTGGCTCTTTAACATTGCGAGATTTAGAAAAATTAAAAAAAGGTTTTTCCCAATCCCGAATTAGCCGACAGGACCAGAAAAAGAATTCTCTAATTACGGACGATGGCTCGGTATTGTTTAAGAAATAGCCCCGGCTAATTAACTTTCTCCCTTTTTAGTCTCCTCCGACGAACTATTAAGGCTACCCCTATCCCAACAACAATTAACAGCAAGAATAAAACAAGAACAATGGGCCAAGGAGAACTAGCAGGTTTATTAGAGCCGCTTTTATTATCATTTTTCTCTTGTAATAGGCTTTGTCGCATAATCGCTTCCCGCATTTTTTGAGTAAAATTTGCGATTTCTTGGCTATCGGTCAATTTTGCCAAATATTCCTGTCAATTTTCTTCGTTTCCTCACAAGCCTTTGTCTAAGCGACTGAGTTCTATCTGGTGTCTTTGTAGTAATTCCTGGATTTCATTTTGAGTTGTTTGTTTAGCCTCATCCAAGGGAAGATTAGCAACTCTTTGGTTATTTTTATTATTCTGCTGAATAATGGCGGTTTTGATGCTCTTAACAAATTTTTGTATTTTTTCATTGTCTGTTAGGTTTTCCAGATATCTTTCTCAGTTTTCTGCACTTTCTCACAGCCTGGTATCTAGTTGGGAGGCTTGAACTCCGTAGCGGTCAAACAGAGTTTCAATTTCCTTTTTGGCTTTAATTTTTGCTTCGTCCAAAGGAAGATGAGACAATTCCTCAATATTTTCCTGAGATTCTTTATTATTTTCTAAGCTAGGGTTTTTCGGTTTCCCGGGCGGGGGGGTTGGGTTTAGGTTGGTTGGGCTGAGGAGTTTCACCAGTATCCGTTGGCTCTGGTTGATTAGCTTGATTAATTATGGCCTCTAATTTTGCTAGAGAGGTTCTTTTGGCAGTTAATCAGTTTCGGTAATTATCTATTTGCGTTTGGTTCTGATTTTCTATTTGTTGGTTGTTAGCATGGTTGGCTCGTCCTTTCTCTTTGGGCTCAAAGCCTATTACCTTTTCCTCATTAATTATAGCCATTTGTTCTTTTACTTCTTGTTCTTCTTCTTTAGATAAGGACATTAAAATTGCGTATTTTCGGCTCCTTGGTAAATAATATCGTTATTTTCTTCTGCTAATTTGTCTATTAGTTTTAGGATTCTATCGTTGTATTGTTCTACTTCCTGTTGATAATTATCCTGGTTGTTTTGATTTTCGTTGCCCTGCGGATCAGGCTGATTAGTGCCAAATGTTCTGTGATAGTTACAAATACCATCTACTACTGTTGTATTTCACCTTACATCATATTTTTGGTCAAACATTTCTCCTAATCTCACATCTGCATCCGTTTGATAGCGACCGTCAATAGGAACATATTTTTTGACATAATTATTACTACAACCCCTGATTTTACAAGCAGTAGGAATTAAATTTTTTAGTTCTTCATACTGTTCCTCAGTAAGAGCATTAGGATGAATGAAATTTCCGTTTCTGTTTTCTATTCTCCTGGTAGTTGCTCCAAAGTTGCCTCCGGAACTTCGCGGATCAAATCTATCAATATAGGGGCTTCATCATGACCTTAACCCTTCATCTCCTGCTGAAGTATTCTCATGAACTTCGTGACCTAATAAAAAATCCTCTGGGTGATTATTGAGATAATTTTTGATGGCTTGAAAAATATCGGGGAATATTTGTGAAAATTGGGCGAATGTTAACTCTATTGTTTGGGCTTCTCCAACATTAATAAACCTTTTTACATCGTCAATAGTTAACGAAAAATCGCCATTTATTCAATTGATAATTTCTTCTCTATTCATTTTTTCCGTATTTTATTTTAGTTTCTAATTATCGTATTTTTAAGAAGAGAATTGGTAAACCAATTATCTTTCATCCCCTGCTTAATTCTTCATGGTAAGAATTTGAAGATAGGAATCTTCTTGTTGGGCTGGTTTTACCACGAAGCCTTTCGTCAACCTGGCAGAAGACCTTGGTATACTTGCTTGCGGAAATCGATCCGACACAACAAAGTATCTTTAAAAACAGACCTAGACCGACCACAGACTCGGCAACGAGTATATTTTCGGGTTGAATATTTGGGAACTCTCTGGCTTTTAACTATTAAGGCTTTGGTTGTCATTTCTTATTCTATTGTTTTAATGGTAATATTACTATCTATTTTTCTTATATATTTTTTTGTTATTCATCAAGCAATTCTTTTTCGTGAGCAGGAACTTTCTTTTTTTCTAGGAGGTTTTTTTTCTCCAGCCTTTTTCTTTCTTGTTCCTTTTGCTCGTCTAAAGAAAGGATTATCAAACTTTTTTGTAATTTTTCTCCGGTTTTTTCCAATTGAATACTCAATTCTCCTTTCAATTTTCTCACTCTTTCCAGCCGCGACAGCGGGCTAGGTTTTTTGACTAAACCAAGTTTTTGGCCGAGGCGACGCCAGAAACCGGTATTTTCTGGTCGTTCTACTTGATAACTTTCAGGCAATAATTCCAATTCGCGTTCTCTTTGCTCCAATCGGTTTATTCTTGAGGTCAAATTGGCTATTTGTCCCTGAATTTCCGTAATCATTTGTCGGTCGCGAGCGATTTTTTCTTTGTTCTTTTTTTCTTCCTCTTGGCGCATTTTTTCTCGGTTCTTATACTCCTTACAATAATTTAGCAAACACTCCTGGGAGCAGAAAGCGGCTCCTTCAACAATTTCAATTCCCAGCGTATTTTGCTCCTCCATTTTCAATTTGTAGGGAAAATCGGTGGCGATACTAATATCACAAAAATAACAGTAACCGGTTTTGACTGCCTTTTGGCGGAGAGGAGTAATAATTATTTTCTTTTTTTCCTTTTGGCGGAGAATAGTTTCTTTTTCTTCTCGTAATTTTTTTATTAATAAATGATATTCTTGAATTAAATTATCTTTTTCCTCATGTAGCACTACTTCATTAAGCGAAAAACGCACTCCTTCTAACTTTTCTAAAATTTCCTCCACTCTCCTGATAATATTCTTGGTATGCTCTAATAATCCGTTCCACACTTTTTCCTTTTCCTCCATGTTGAGATTGGTTTTAGACAAAGTAAAAAGAGAGAGATTGATTTTTTTTACCAGCACTTGATAATCATTTTCAAATGCATTTAATTGCTCTCGAGCCAATTGGATGATTGAATAATTCATAATAACATTATATTTATATTTTTTAATGGTAGAGAACTACACTGCCTTTCTATACCTTGTATCTATATCTTAATTTTAATCATTTTATCACGGTTTTTGAACCTTTTTAATTAAGGCTTCAAAGTGCTGGGGTTGGTGTATAGCCATCTCAGATAACTGTTTACGATCTAACTTAATTTGCGCTAAAACTTTTAAGCGCATAAATCTAGAATATTTAAGCCCTTGTTTGCGGCAAGCAATATTTATACGCCTTATTCAGTCTTGGTGCTTATATCTCTTTTCAACTTTTCGATCCCGAGTAGAGTAAGCCAATGACTTATTAACTTGCTCTTTAACCGTTCTAAATAATTTTCGTTTAGAGCCAAAATAACCTTTAGCTTGCTTGATAATTTTTTTTCGTCGTCTGTGTGTGGCTGGGGTATTAGTTGCTCGGGTCATATAATTTTAATTTTAACTAATAATTTGAATCCATTAGGTTATATTTTATACAAAATTGGCTTCGCGAACCTCAATTTTTCTTTTGTTTATTTCTTTTTCCCACTACTAATAATTTCTTCCTTATGGGCTATCGTTTTTTGACAATATTTGCAATATTTTTTTAAATTTAATTTCTCCCCTTGGGGCTTTTTGGCTTTGGAAGTCCGATAATTTTGGTGCCTTTTCTGACATCCACCACAAACTAAAAATAAATCTACTCGCATAAATGTCTACTTTTTTTTCTTCTTCGGTGTGAACCTTTTAGGATTTTGGGCCTCCTTTTTGTGCTGGGCTTGGGACATTTTAATGAACCTATTAATTTTTTCTTCCGAAGGCTTTTGCCCCAGTGCAGTCAACATATTCCTTACTTGTTCCCTATCAGGTGTTTCCATTTGCTTTTTTCATTCTTCAACCTGCTTCTTGTGAGTATAATAAACGATAAAACCACCGATTAATAAGCCTATGGTAAGGGATAATGGAGTGAGAATTATATACGCCTGTCAATCTTTCATACTTATATTATATATTTTTATATTTAACCTGTTGACGTCTAATTCAAGCAGCCATCATTTTGGACCTTAAAATTGCCTTTAAACTTTTAAAAATAAGTTTTTTTGTCTCTATCCTTTCCGCACAATAACCCGCATTTTGGCACTCCGAGACCGATGATTTTCCTGGACTTCTTGAGGTGTGGGAGTTAAAGGTTTTTTGGTGATAATTTGGAAGTTGGGTCCGGAATATTTTCGAAATGTTTGTTTGACAATTCGGTCTTCCAGAGAGTGATAATCAATGACGACAATTCTACCGCCGATAGCTAAATAATTAAGAGCGGCTTCTAAGGTTTGGCTCAGATTTTCTAACTCTCTATTAACGAATATTCGCAGGGCTTGAAATACTTTGCGAGCAGGATGTTTATTACTTTTGCGGGAAAAACAGGAAGCGACTATTCCCACCAATTGCTGAGAGTTGACAATTTTCTCTTTTTTTCGCCAGTAACAAATTTTGCGAGCTATAGGGCGGGCTTTTCTTTCCTCTCCGTAATGATAAAAAATGTCGGCTAATTTGGCTTCTGGATAGTCGTTAATGATATCGGTGGCTGATAGTTTGGTTGTATGGCTTATTCGCATATCCAATGGTGAATCTGACCGATAACTGAACCCCCTTTCTGTAGCCGCTAACTGGTCCGAAGAAAGCCCTAAATCAAATAAAAATCCGTCTGCCTCTTGGATGCCCATCTTTTTTAAATGTTCTTCCAGATTGGCAAAGTTGTCGTTAATGAGGCAAAATTGAGAAGTGAGGAAAATTTTGTCTTTTTGTGTCAAATCGCTAAACTCCTCGTCTCATTCAAAAGCAATTAATTTTCCTTTTTCCAGATTTTTCAATATTGCCTGCGAATGACCTCCCTGACCGAAAGTTCCGTCAACATAGACCCCTCCTTTTTTTAGATTGAGATAGTCCAAAACCTCTTTCAACATTATTGGAACATGGATTCCGCTACCTGCCACAGTCATTAACTATTTTTTTTAAATTTAATTCTCCAACTAGGCAAACTTTGTATATTTTTCTTATTTTCTTTACAGTAAAATAATAATTAGAAAAAAATTTGCTCTGATTCTTCCCTATACCTTTCAATTGCTAGTATAATGAACTACTCACCACTTAATTCTTACGAATTTGAAAATGGGATTTTCGTAGCGGTCAGAAATCTGACATGCCCGAGGCCCCACTCTCTAAGAGCAAAGGGTCAGAGACCATTCCTAGTTGAAGTGACCGCCCACTTAATTATTTGTAACAAATAGCAATAAATAAGTTAATAAATATAACGAAGAGAAACCCAATTAAAATAAAAATGATGATTTTTAAAATATCTTTATTCATAAATTAAGAAATCCGACATCAATTTACTCATAAAATTAATTACTTTTTAGTCAAAATACGGGCAATCTCTTTTTTTAACTCTTTTATTTGGTGCGTTTTGACCAATTGCCCCATTTTATTTTTCATACGAAGAACTATCAGAGTTGCACGATACTGGGCTAGTAATTCCTCTTTTGACAATGGTTTTTTTGTTTTTACTTCTTTATCCTTATTCATATATTCTTTTCTATTTTTGGCTTCCAGCAAAGTATTACTACAATGGGAAAAATTTTTGCTAATGGGCAGATTAGAGGATGCCCAACCTCTCGGCATAAAGCCTTAGCTCAGATTTGCTGTTTTTTAGCAAACTGAAACTTGTAAACTGAAACTATTTTTCAACAACCTTATATTTGCCCGGCAATTTATGACTGGCCTGGATAAGTGCCGTGTAGGCAATATCACGAGGAACCTTTTCACTTAATTCCAAAATTATTGTTCTCTGCCTAACCCATGCTACTCAGCACTCAATTGGACCTTTGCCAGAACCCATTCGCACTTCCAATGGTTTTTTTGTTTTGGGAAAATGGGGGTAGACATTAAATTTTCAAGGCTTTTTCTTGCCGTCTGCGTATTTTTTGGTGTAACCACTAATTACTTTGCGAATGGCCTCGATCTGCTTTTCGGTTAACTCCGCTCCTCGCTGAGCCCGCAAACCTCACTTGCCCCAGGTTATTTCTTGGTTGCCTCTGGCTGGACCTTCACATTTCACAAGATGATAATAACGATGTTTAGTTTTTTTTGGTATAGACATGATTTCGATTTCTTTTTTGTCAGATTTTTCCTTTGTAAAGTATTACTTGGATACCTACGGTGCCTCGACTAAGAACTGCCACTTGAAAACCTACTTCTATATTACTATCCATAGTGCTGATTGGCAATTTTCCCCATTTTCTCTTTAAAGTTTGAGCAATACCAGTATTGTTTAAAATACCTTTCATTTCAACGCCTCCGCCCTTAATTTCTCGCTCAAACTCTACTTTGGCTAGCACATTTTTTAAGATCTGTTTCACCGGAATCCATTTTTTTAATTGACCAGCAATTAAATTAGCAATTGACTGAGCATGTGTATAAACCTTTTTTACTTCCACTAGATTTATTTTAACGGCAATTTTATCATCATTAATTATTTTATAGATCCCTTTCATTACCGTTTCTATTTTCGAATTATCTTCTCCCAATACTAAACTGATTTCTGGTATGTAAAGAAAAATGAAAATGGTATTTTTAGTATATTCAATTTTCAACCGGTCAGTATCTGGAAAAAGAGAGTATAGATAATTACGAATAGCCTGGTCTCTTTGCATTAAATTAATCTGTTCTTTTCTATTTTCAGCAAAGAAATAATTATTTCAGACTTGGTTATAACCTAAACGCATTGCATACGGACTTGCTTTCTGTGCCATTATTATTTAATTTTAAGATTTTTTTGCTTGGTCCTTGACAATAAAATAACAAGACCGACCAAAGCAACCAGCGAGAAGCCGACAATTGAATAAGCAATTATCTTATTCTCATTGGGATTTTTTGAATTTTCAGTAGTAGTGTTGTTTTTTTGTTGGTTTTTTAATAATAATTCTCGGATTTCCTGTTCTAATTTGCGAACTTCTTCCGAATTTCCGCCTTTATTTTCTTTGATTTTTTGCAATTCGGCTTCCTTTTTAATTATCTGCTCGTTTGTTGTCTCAGAGGAAGTTAATGTTTGATTTTGAGTATTAACTGCTCGGGAATTCTTTATTTTCTCTCAACTTTCGCCCATTTCATGACGACAAAATTCCTCTACTATGTCTGGCGGACATTTTTCCCAAGTAGCAATTTCTTCAGCAGTATAGTTTTTGCCTCATCATTTTGCGGTGAATACACTGTCTAACCTTTCAATCTCTTGTAATCTTTTCTCGCGAGAAAGTGAGTCTCAATAATTTTGAGCCTTAACTTCGGCTCGTTGACGGGCCGGTTTTCCTATCTCCTCTGCTTCTCTACAACCTCCTTTCCCTACATAGTCATAATTACCACAAAGTTTTTGTCCTGGAGGAACTAATTTGATAAAACGGTTTCGGTGCTTTTTTTCTTTTAATCATTTTAAGCCGTCGTCTTCGGCAAGCCAATTAACTTTTTCTACACAACCTTCACATTCTTTTCAGCCTTGGTTTAATCTTTCTTGTCGTTTACGCTTTTTTTCTTCTAAATAATTATCAAGGCAATTTTGAGAGCAAATAAATTTTTGATACTGTCTAAATCCGTTAGCAGGTTTTACAGTTCACCTCAATCTTGGGTCGGGTTTATGCTTATTATATTCCACTTGTGCTACTGATTTTTTACAAACCTGACAGTGGGAAATATTTTTAAAACAGCCGAAACATCATGCTTCCTCTTTCGTATTAGCACCTAGGCCAGGCCAGCGATTAATACTAGAGATATAATTAATGTCTTGTTGGCAGTTTTCACAGCCGCCGATTTTTTTATTTACCATAATTGTTATTATTTTTCTTTTTTGCTATGTTCTATATTATCTATTTTACTATTTTTTTCACTTCCCTTAGTAATTGAACCCTTTTTACCCAAATACAAATTAATCAAACTATATCTCTTTCTGATGCGGTTAGTGCGGCCTTTGGCCCGATAAATGACCCTTT